GGGTGCTCTGCCCTGCTGGAGCCGCCGGTGGCACGCGGTCGGTCCCGAGATGACGGCGAGCTTGCGAGTGGCGAAGGTAACCGCGTGAAGGACGGCCCCCTTCTGGCGACCCCCTCGCCCCCCAGCCTCCTCCCTCCATCCGCTCCGAGGCTCTCGAGCGCCTCCGTTTGCCGGCGGGATCCCTGGCGTCCCCGCCCCTACCCGGAGGCGGCCTGGGTCTGGGAGAGGGGCAGAGCTGGAGTTTCGGGGCGGATGGGGCGGAGATGTCGCTAGCTCCCTGAGCCGGGCTGAGCTGAGGATGCATCGGCTCCCCGCTCGCTGCTTTCAGTTTCGCTTCTGCTGGAAACTTGTGCTCGCAGTTGAGTGCGTCTCGAGAGCCGGAAGGGCTCCTGGGTGTTTTGGTGACAGACGTTCTGCTGGTGGTGGGTTATGAACACAGACAAACCGGACAAGGTCCTTGCCTTGGAATGGCCTGTAGCCCATCCTGGAATTTGATGCTTTTCATTACTAGAGTCCTGAGAAGTAGGGGGTGCTGATCAGGATGGGGGTGCAAAGTTTTCGGGGTATTCTCTGGAGGAAAAGATGCCAAGGGGGTCCCGGAAGCCCCCCTAAAGTATCTGGCTTGCATGCATTAGTTCCACAAATGCTGAGTACCTACATGTACTAGCCCCCTTCTAGTTGGTGGGGGCAGAGATGAACAGAAATCTGTCCCCTTTTGAGCTTTCATTCCTATTAGGGACAATTCTTTCTTTTTTTTTTTGAGTCGGAGTCTCTGTCACCCAGATTGGAGTGCAGCGGCAGGATCACGGCTCACCACGGCCTCAGATCACGGCTCACCACAGCCTCAACCTTCTGGGCTCAGGTGATCCATCTGCCTCAGCCTCCCAAGTAGCTGGGACCACAGGCATGTGCCGCCACACCTGGCTAATTTTTAAATTTTTTTTTATTTTGTAGAGAGGAGGTCTTGCTATGTTGCCCAGGCTGGTCTCAAACTCCTGGGCTCAAGCGATCCTCTCGCTTTAGCCTCCCAGAATGCTGGGATTACATTCATGAGCCACTGTGCCCAGCCAGGGGCACAATTTGAAATAAGAACTGGAAGAGTGGGGAGGAGTGATTTCCCCCAGGAGGAGAAAAAGTGGAGTGCAGCCAGGGTTTGGAGATGGATGGGGGAGGAGAGCAATCTGGTGAGGTGGGCCTGGCACCCCCTAGGCCTAGGCTTTGAGTCTCTCAGAAGTGGCCCTCCCACCTATAGGGCAGAGGGGCAGGCTCCAGGGCAGGGGTGTCTGCTACCCTCAGCCCCTTAGAAGAACATGGTCTCAGATTGGGACACCCAGAGCTGGCTTGGTCCAGAACTAAATCTGGAGGTTGGCAGCGAAATGAAGCAGAGGTTCTTTCCAGCCAAGCAGGAGAGACAGGAGCCAATATTTATTGCACTGGAACCACTAAATGCTAGGCAGTTTATATCAGTTATGTTATCTAATTCTCACAACAGCTCCATGGGATAAGTAATGTACCCCCATCTTACAGACAAGGAAACTGAGACCCAGAGAGAATGACTCGGTTTTCCAAGGTCATTCAGTAAGGAGTGATGGGCCTGGGATTTGAGCCAAGGTCCATGAGCTCTAATCTGCAGGCTCTTTAGTGACCTCTTTGCTTTCATTTTCTGTTCCTCTAAGTCAGGTGATTTCCTAGCAGGAAAAAGCTGTGTGTCTTAGCTTGGAATGAAACTTCCTCAAGATTTGGGAAAGTTCTGGCAGAACTTGCCTGCAACAGACAAACTCCAAGCGTTCCCAGTTAGAGTCAAGTTGGGAAAATGTCTTCCAAGTCGTCTCTGTCCAACCTTGGGCTTCATTCTTGCCAAAGAGCCACAGATGCTGCTGAAACTAGGACTTACAGTAGCAGATGCTTCTAGTTTGGGGTAAAGATAAATGAGGGACCACAGACTCTGGGCAGAAGGCACCAGAAGCAGTTTGTTGGCTGAACGGAGATGGACTATAGGCTGAGAGATAGGAGGTGGGGATGGGGTGTGTTCATATGTTGGAAGCAGAGAAAGTTCAGATGGTTCATGCTGTTAAAGGGCCCTCCCCAACTATGGACTGGGTTTGGAGAGCTTTCTCTCTGCTTTTCTTTACACAAGTTTTCTCAGCCTTATCACTATTTATGTTTGGGCCTAGATCATGTTTTTTTTCTTTTTAATTGGAGTCTCACTCTGTTGCCCAGGCTGGAGTGCAGTGGCATGATCACAGCTCACTGCAGCCTCCATCTCCTGGGCTCAGGCAACCCTTCTGCCTCAGCCTCCCAAGTAACTGGGACTTCAGACACGTATCACTACACCCAGTTAATTGTTCTAATTTTTTTTTTTGTAGAGGTGAGGTCTTGCTATATCGCCTAGGCTGGTCTCAAACTCCTGGGCTCAAGCAATCCTTCCACCTCGGCTTCCCAGAATGCTGGGATTCTAGACGTGATCCACTGTACCCACTTGGGGCCAGATAATTCTTTATAGGATGATTATCAGCATTTCTGGCCTCTACCCACTAGATGCTAGTAGCACTCCTCCCATTTGCGGCAATGAAAAGTGTTTCTAGACATTGCTAAATGTCCCTTGGTAGGTAAAATTGCCCCCTGGTTTATACCCATTCAGTGTTGTAGAGGAATGTGACCTGCCTTTGAATGCCTTATCTCTCCCTCCCTGCCCCCAAAGGTCTGTAGTCTTATAAAATGGACCCCAAAAGAGGGTTAGGATTGTTGGTCAAATATGTTTGAGAAGTACTGTGTGCTGTGGAGAGAAGAAACCTCTTTAGCTTAGTTTTTCCAAATGTACTTGACTATGGGACCCTTTCCTTATACTAACTATTAACATTCCATGCGATACATTGGACACATTTGTCTTTCTGGGCCCTCTGCCTTGGTGCCTAGCTCCTTTTCTACGTGGTGGACTCCTATGTATTCTGCATGGCCCAGATTACAGTGTGCATCCTCTGTGAAGCCTTCCTTCTGCTCTCCCATCACCTTCCCTGCTGCGTATCCACACACAATGTTCATAAAATCACATTCATGTTTCCTTCATTACTCAATGAAGTCCTTGAGTCTAGGCCCTGTCTTAGTCGTGTCACTAGCGAATGCTCAAGAAATGTCCTTTGGGAGAACTCAGTGATGTCCAGGTGGTTGGGCCACAGTCTGGGAGGTGAGTCACCCCTTGTCCCCTTGCTATGTCTTTCTTTCTTCCTTTTTCTTTTCTTTTTTTTTTGAGTCAGAGTTTTACTCTGTCGTTTTACTCAGCCACAGCAGGCTGCAGGGCAGTGGCATGATCACGGCTCACTGTAGCCGCAGCCTCTTGGTCTCAGGCAATCCTTCCGCCTCAGCCTTCCAAGTAGCTGGGAGTACAAACATACACCACCCTGCATGGCTTATTTTTTATTTTTATTTTTGTAGACACGAGGTCTCGCTATGTTGCCTAGGCTGTCTTATAATCCTGGGCTTAAGCACTCCTCTCACCTCAGCCTCCCAAAGTGCTGGGATTACAGATATGAGCCACCATGCCTGGCCTCCTTGTCCCATTCTCTGTTTTGTGTGTAGAGTTCTTCTCTACTATGGTCTGCCTGGGTCATTTCCCTTCCCTAGCCCTGGTCTGGAAGAGTTTGAAGGAGCAGGTTGATGCCTTTGCTGGGGACACTTAATGGAGCTTATGGGAGGAAGAGAGGAAGGACAAGAGGTAGGGAATTAGGACCCAGTGACTTTTTAGAATGAAGGCAAGAGGATAGAGCTTAGGTTCTTTGCTTTGAGGAGAAAAGGCTTCTAGGAGAGTTTACTCCCAAGTTTTGTGTGTGGGTGTGTGTTTGTGTTTGTGTTTTGAGTTGGATCTTACTGTGTCACCCAGGCTGAAGTATAGTAGCACACTCATGGCTACTGCAGCCTCAACTTGTTGGGCTCAGGCCATCCTTCCGCCTCAGCCTTCAGAGTAGTTGGAACTACAGGCGTGTGCCACCACACCCAGCTAAATTTAAAAAAACATTTTGTTTTAAAGATGTGGGGTACAGAGCCGGGCTCGGTGGCTCAGCCTGTAATCCCGCGCCTTTGGGAGGCTGAGGTGAGTGGATTGCCTGAGCCCGCGGGTTCGAGACCCGCCTGGGCAGCGAGACCTCATCTCTACAATAAATAAAAAAATCAGCTGGGTGTGGTAGCGCATGG